GTACATTTGGAAATGGCCGTTGGAAGCTGACAGGAGGAGCTTTGACAATCGCCAGAGAAGAGATGTCTTCAACACTGTACAAGACTCAAAAGAAGATCTGTCTGGGAAGTCTTAATGCAGCAGAAAACAAGGAGTCAACAGACTTATGCAACAGAAGACTGGCTCACATGAGTGAGAACGGATTGCATCTGTTGGCAAAGCAATCCAAGATGCCCTTATCCAAAGGTAATGCCCTGAAGCCGTGTGATCGTTGCCTTTATGGCAAGCAGCATCAAGTATCATTTAGTTCAACGAGCAAGAGGAAAACAGAAGTGCTTAGTATGGTATACTCGGATGTTTGTGGCCCAATCGAAGTGGAGTCACTTGGTGGCCGCAAGTATTTTCTGACCTTCATTGATGATGCATCAATGAAGTTGTGGGTGTATTTTTTGAAGACGAAGGATGAGGTATTCCAACACTTTCAGGAGTTCCATGAAATGGTGGAAGGAGAGACTGGGAAGAAGTTGAAGTGTCTTCACACAGTCAATAGTGACGAATACACTTCCAATGTTTTTAAAGCATATTGTGCTAGCAGGGGTATCTGGCACGAGACAACAGTTCCCGGCACCCCACAACAGAATGGTGTGGCAGAGAGGATGAACTGCACTATTGTTGAAAAAGCCAGATGCATGCTTAGAATGACAAAGTTGCCAAAGTCATTCTAGGCTGAAGTCACCTGTATAGCCTGTTATCTCATCAATAGGTCACCTTCAGTCCGTTAAATTTTGTGATACCTGAGGAAGTCTGGTCCAAAAGAAAGGTATCATATTCTCACTTGAGAGTCTTTGGGTGTAAGGTGTTCGCACACATCTCCAAGGAAAATAGACAGAAGCTTGATGACAAGTCCACTCCATGCATATTTGTGGGCTACTTAAATGCAGCATTTGGGTACAAGTTATGGGGCCCAGTGAATAGGAAGATGTTCAGGAGCAGAGATGTTGTGTTACAAGAAGACCAAACAATAGCAAATTTTGATAAGTCTGCAAAGTCTAGAGATGTCATCACTCTAGACTTGTTACCATCTCTCAAGCCATCACAAAATACTAGATGTGATGATGTGCAACAAGAAGTACCAGAGTTGTAGGATCTTATGCCAGAAATAGAGGATCAAGAGGAAAGAGATGAAGACCCAGATGAAGAGGGTGTTGAGCAGGGGGAGCAAGCCCCTCTACCAGAGGCAACATGGCCTCAGTTGCGGAGATCTGGAAGAGCTGCTATGTCATCAGCCAAATATCCCGCTTCTCAGTATATTCTAATTACTGATGAGGGGGAGCTTGAGAGTTTTTCGGAAGCAAAGAGTCATACAGAGAAAGACTATTGGATGCAAGCCATGACGGAAGAGATGAGTTTTTTGTAGAAGAACCACACTTATGAGCTTGTTCCATTTCCAAGTGACAGGAGAGCCTTGAAGAACAAATGGATGTATAAGTTGAAGAAAGACGGCAAAGGTAAACTATTGCAAGATAAAGCTCGCTTGGTGGTCAAAGGTTTTGGACAGAAGAAGGGAGTTGATTTTGATGAGATCTTCTCTCCAGTTGTGAAGATGACTTCCATTCGAGTAGCTTTGGAATTAGCAGCTCGCTTGAATCTGGAGATAGAACAGATGGATGTCAAAATTGCCTTTCTCCATGATGATTTGGAAGAAGAGATCTATATGGAGCAACCAGAAGGATTTAAGGTTAAAGGGAAACAGAACCTAGTTTGCAAATTAAAGAAGAGTCTCTATGGCCTGAAGCAGGCGCCGAGACAATGGTACAAGAAGTTTGATTCATTCATGGTGGATCACAAGTACACAAGAATGGTAGCAGACCAGTGTGTATATTTTCGAAGGTTTTCGGATGAAAATTTCATCATCCTACTGTTGTATGTCGATGATATGCTGATCATCGATATCATTGGACATGATACTACTATGATCAACAAGTTGAAAAAGAACTTGTCGCATTATTTTGACATGAAAAATTTAGGCGCATCATAGCAGATTTTGGGCATGAAGATTGTTCGTGACGGGAAAACCAAGAAGATATGGCTATCACAGAAGAAATATGTTGAACGGGAGATTGAAAGGTTTAACATGAAAGATGCCAAGCCAGTCAGCACACCACTGGCCAACCATTTCAAGGTGACAAAGCGTTCGTGTCCCACGACCAACCCTGAAAGGAAAGAAATGGAGGCAATACCCTATTCCTCTGCAGTAAGGAGTTTGATGTATGCAATGGTGTGTACCTGGCCAGATATAACTCACGCAGTTGGCGTTGCGAGAAGATTCATCGCCAATCTAGGAAAGGAGCATTGAGAGGCAATCAAATGGATTCTTTGGTACTTGAAGGAAACTTCAAAGATGTGTCTATGTTTTGGGGGAGCTGAACCAATTTTGGAGGGTTTTACAGATGCCAATATGGTAGGTGATCTTGATGGTAGAAAGTCTACATCAGGATTTCTGTTCACCTTTGCAGGGGAAGCTATTTCATAGCAGTCCAAACTATAAAAATGTGTTGTTTTATCTACAACAGAGGCAGAGTATATTGCTGCCGCAGATGCTAGAAAGGAAATGTTGTGATTAAAGCGGTTTCTCCAAGAATTAGGTCTACAGCAAGAAGAGTACAAGGTACATTGTGATAGTCAGAGTGCAATTGATCAGAGCAAGAATTTCATGTACCATTCCCGTACAAAGCACATTGATGTTCGGTATCATTGGATACGAGAAGTGATGGAAAAGCAGTTGATGAAGCTGGTGAAGATTCACACAGATAAAAACTAGCCGACATGCTTACAAAGGTGGTCTCGAGAGAAAAACTTGAAGAATGCAAGGATATTGCTGGGATGGACTTCCAGTAAGGATCCTACTCTCCATAGGTGTGGAGGGGGAGAATTGTTAAGGATCCACACTAATGTGAACTTGGCTATGGTGGAAGTCAAGTATGGAGGCTGTGAATACAGATTTACTGAAGTTTTTCAAACCTAGCACTACAGGAAATGACAGTTTTGGCGACCAAAATATTGGTCGCCAAAAGTCCCATTTTTAGTCGCCGAATGTAATTAGCGACTAAATTTTTTTGTCACCAAGTTCGTCGCCTATACCCTGTCGGCGATAGTATTGGCGACTAAAATATTTTTGGTCGCCGAAAGTTAAACATTTGGCTACTAAACTTTGGTCAGTCGGGAAAGGTGATCTTTTGGTGACTAAATTATTGGTTGCCGAAATTGAACTTTTGGCTACTAAACTTTGGTTAGTCGCCAAAAGTTCTCACAGAAAACTAAATTAAACTATTAGAGACTAAAATTTTAGTCGTTAATAGAATACGTACATTTAGCGACCAAACACTTTAGTCGCCAAAGGATGTCATGTTTTTAGTGACTAAAATATTTAGTCGGCAATTAAACTTCCCTCATTCTGATTTGTTTTAGCTACTATGTGGTTTGGTCACAAAAAGCCATTTGATTATTTTTGCTACTAAATTATTGGTCTGCAAAACATTTGTTTACATTTTTGGCTACCAACATATTTAGTCACCAAATCCTATATTAATTTTTTTTTTTTAATTTCTGAACCACCTGTATCCATTATTATTGCAACCTGTACCAAGTGTAAACAATATAATCCATCAATACTGAATATATTATCAACCATTCAACAACGTGCACACATTTCACTTCCAACCATCCAAAATATTTATATTCAACGTCCAATTCTAAATGTAATACAAATTCCATACGAACCAAGTATAATTCAACCCCAATAATTTAATTCCATACATAATAGAGGATTAACCAAATTTAATATCCAAAAGGAAATCTATACCACACCAAAAATTTATTCTATACTGCTTCAAAAACTAATTTGTACCACGTCCAATGCTAATTTCTATCGGGCCAAATTTTGGATATTTACCACGCCAAAAAACTAATTTGTATGAACCACTATATATATGGACGGAGATATAAAAATAATGCCCTTCCGTACTTGTCAAAAAAAGTCATATCCACATTTGTACGTCAAAAACCATCTGCAAAAAAACCGGAGTTCTTCTCACTCATCTGGCATCAAACAAGGAAAGTAATAACATGTTGGCAATAACTTGTTCGTATGAGGCAAAAAGAATGACCAACTCCACAAATCCAGCATTCAGATCCTCTTACCTCCATTTTTTTAAGAACATCTTCCAAACTTCCACCTGTAGAAAGAAATAAAAACAATGGCTATGCTAACCTTATAGCACATGAGTTACAAATTAACTCCACATTTTAGTTAAAATAAGGGGAGAGAAACAATTTATAAAATTAAATGCCTCAGAGAAAAAGCCATGATTCAAAGCATGAAAATTGAGCTAAAATTTATTCTAGGTCAAATTAAGAAATATTCTCTAGATTTCTTGAATCTTCTGGAACATACTTCTGCAACTCTGTTAAACTGTGAAGTATGAATTGAAAATAACAAAGTCCAACTCGGATATGATGCATATGAATATCTCATAGAAGGGTGATAAATTGATGTTGCTGAGTGCAAGCACTTCTGAATGTTGCTAAGGTACATAATGAGTAAAAAATAATCAAACGATAAAATAGATATAAGAAGAATATGGTCCAACCCAAGTAAACTCAAATCTCCAAACTTTTAAGAATTTTAAAATGTACTATAAAATTATAAAATTATGGTCCAACCCAAGAAACAATTTATAAAATTAAATCAAACGAATTTCTCCACTTCATCGACTTTGCTTTAACTATATTAGCAATGTTCATAAATGGTCAATTCATGATAACAATGGCCACTTTAGCTGTTACCTAGGCATAATTTTCCACAATTTGATTCAATAATACCACATCATCCTTGTTCATCTTGTACCTCTATTCTCCTTTTCTTCAATGTGATTAACACTAACTTGGCTCAAAGATTAGTTGTTCAACACATTTGAAAAACTTGGCTCAAATTCTTAGGCTGTTACATCATTCTCCTGCACATTTTTCATTTACCTGATGTGTGTGCTTGTGCTTTTTTGTGTGTAATTTAATAGTTATAATGTTATCATGTTATCATTTTAATTCTTCTATTTTATTTATTTATTTTTCTGTTTAAAAGTCATCACATATGCATCCCTCTTTTCTGAATTATTAGGCTCCAGTTTTGGTTGTGACTTTTGATCACAAGTTCTTTGTTTTATTATCATTTAAAAATTAAACTTTGTCCCATGAACCATTAGACTTTTGATCACTAGTACCATTAGACTTTGTCCTGTGAGGTGGGTACATTCTCTGCATTCATATTCAAGATAAATATGCTCATCTACTTTGAGATTGTAAGAGAAACAATAGAAAAATAATGATATTCACACAACACTTTTAGCCTCACACTCCACTTGTGAGAGGCAAAGCACAAACAAAGGAGTGTGGTAAGCTTAAAGTGTAGTATAAATATCGTTGCCATAGAAAAATGTCACATATAACTGATTAGAGCATGCATCATCAAGTCAAAAGAGAGAGAGTATTCATCAATCATGTGAAGCATAAAAAAACATACGTATGCACATCTTTGCAAGACCACAGGATAATTTATAACATTATATCAATGAAAACATGCTTATGAGATCAGAAGTTCCATAACCATACAATCTCTAGTAAGTTCCATAACATTACTAATACCAGGAGTTCCATAACCAATGCTTTCCAACCTCAATACTTATGAGATCAAACTCAAAATGCAAAAATCATTATATCAATGAAAACACTAATATCTAGGTTCCATGCAGAATAATGAGTAGCACGATTCAGACATCACAACCAGCACAAAGATTAAAATGGCATTAATTTTCTAGAAATTAAAGCAGATCCTTCAAAAGATGCCTCCTACTGCAAGAAAGCTCTACACATTGCAATATAGTACACTTAATGTTCTGATTTCCACATTATTGGCAATCATCTTGCCCTTTTATTATTACTAAAATAAGTTTAAAAAATTATGTTACCTCGTCTATGTTCTCAAACTTTCTTTCTGGCTCTAGAGGTTGACCACCATAGCTTTGAGTTGGACGTGGGGTCACATAGATTACCCTTTTAGAACTCATGCAACCCATGGCCTATATAATTCACAAAGGTTCTGCAGCATCCAACAAATGTGACTTCTTCTAGAAAATTATGCACAATCACAAAATGACATAGCATATAATACAAGAGCAATTATGAAATAAACCCCTTGGATTCTCTTTCCAGTAACAGGACATTTGGGTCCACTGGCCCTCTTCTTGGTGCTCTGATACACCAACCTCCCTCCTAAATTCACACAAATTTAGCTCAAATGAGAAAATTTAACTATCATTTCCACAATTCTCATAGCAAACTCGTAACTTATTTTACACATTATAGCTAAATCTTGTATCGAATTTGGCACAAAACCTAGTAATTGTAAAATATAACACAATGTTTATCTAGCCTTTGGAGAGTTCCAATTTGGCCTTGATCTTAATTTTTGACAATAACATCCATTGGAGAAGCTTCGTTTTTTTTTTTTTTTCTTTATAAATCTCAAATAAAATAATATAATTTTACAAATATGAAGAGGATCTATATTAAACAAAACAAAACAAAAAAAAAATCTCAGCTAATTTATCCAAATTTTAAAAAAGAGAATGTAAACACTACAAATATTGAAAACAAAAAGGATAAATTACAAACACTCACGGATGTTTACTTAAATTATAAATTATTCTCTGTAGTTTTAGAAATTATATTGTATCCATTAAGATTTCTAATTTCATAACAAATAAGTCCTTTTATTAATAATTTATTAAGTTAATTAACAGTTTTTAATAATATTAAATTTTATTTCAATTAATAATTCATAAAATTTTATTATTATATAGGTAAATAGTTAAAAATTTCACTTTTTCAATTAATTCTGTTAAATAAAAAAAATTGATAGAAAGATATATTTGTAACTTTTCAAATCACGGGGACAATCCATATTAAGTAAACTTCAGGAAGTGTATTTGTAATTTACCCATAAAAAAAAGATTAGAAACTCTAAATTAAGAATTTTAAGAATTTTAATTAGTGTTTAAATCTCATGTGATATGATATTTTATTTTTTTTTATTTTTTTTATTTTTTACATCATTAATATTCTTTTTGAGCTTTTAAATTACATAAATGTATTATTTCTGTATTGAAAAAGAGGCAAAAGTTGAAAGCATTCATGCAATTTACGAGGACAAACAGCACCCCATACGCAACCATCATTTGACAAAATGCGCAGACCAATGGACTAATGCTGCATCCACTGTATATAAAGTATCTATCCTTTTCACATCCGACTAACAGATGGCACTACAACCTCACTGATACTAATCAAACAAGAGAAAAATGTGAAAAGTAATTGATGAATGTTTGATCAAAGTCATTAAAATAAATTTTTAATAGACTTAGTGAGAAATAATAATAAAAAGTAATTATCAAATTAACGTAAAATTTAGAAAGTCTCCAAAAAAAATTAAAAAGTCAAAAAATTATTTTAAAAGTTAAAAAATTATCACTATTCACTCAAAGTCAACAATTGCGTTGTAAATTGAGATTTGAAAGGAATTGGAAAATGAGTTGTAATATGGACTTGTACGTCATGAAAATGTAAAGTGTGATAAGGGAAAATATCAGTGTTGGCCATCTATCAACTGCTAATCTTTTAGTCATTGTTCATATTTGGTTTAGTGTATTTTAACTGGGCTGTGGCTCACCCTATATGGGAATATCATTTTCAGGTACAGGTAGCATGCCACCTCCAAGGACATAGCTTGGGAGGCCAGAGGCGGACACATTTTTTTCGTTTTATTTTTGGTGAATTACATGTAAATTCAAGCCAAGGGTTTAATGTGTAAATGAGTTAGTACTCTTTTGTTGTAACCAAGTATTAACTTGGAAAGCTGTAAGCCTTTAGGGCATTTGCTTTTGTCGTTAACATGTAATACTTTTTGTAATGAAACTCTGATGAATGGAAGAGTGTGGAACTTTTATATATCAATGTATGTCTTTATTGTTGGGTTTTATGTTATTATTTTGAGGGCGTTACACTTCCATTTTTAATTTTCTGCAACTTCCATTTTTATTTTTGTTCAACTTCCTTTTTTATTCAAGTTTCTTTCTATGCAACTTCCTTTTTTATTTAATTTTCAAATAGACCGTTAAGGTATAGTGGTTTCTTGAATGAACTGCCATTTTTAATTTTCTGCAACTTCCATTTTTATTTTTATTCAACTTCCTTTTTTATTTAATTTCCAAATAGATCGTTAAGGTATAGTGGTTTCTTGAATGAACTTCCATTTTTAATTTTCTGCAACTTCCTTTTTTATTTTTATTCAACTTCTATTTTTATTGAAGTTACTTTTTTATTCAACTTTCTTTTTTATTTAATTTCCAAATAGGTCGTTAAGGTATAGTGGTTTCTGGAATTAACTTCCATTTTTAATTTTATGCAACTTTCATTTTTTTTTCATCAACTGCCATTTTGATTCCATTTACTTTTCTATTCAACTTGCTTTTTTATTTAATTTCAAAATAGATCGTTAAGGTATAGTGCTTTGTTGAATGAACTTCCATTTTTAATTTTCTGCAACTTCCATTTTTATTTTTATTCGACTTCTATTTTTGTTGAAGTTACTTTTCTATTCAACTGCCTTTTTTATTTAATTTCCAAATAGATCGTTAAGGTAAAGTGGTTTCTAGAATGAACTTCCATTTTTAATTTTATGCCACTTTCCTTTTTCTTTTTATTCAACTTCCATTTTTATTCAATTTACTTTTCTATTCAACTTGCTTTTTTTTTTTTTAATTTCCAAGTAAATCGTTAAGGTATAGTGGTTTCTTGAATGTACTTCCATTTTTAATTTTCTGCAACTTCCATTTTTATTTTTGTTCAACTTCCTTTTTTATTCAAGTTTCTTTCTATACAACTTCCTTTTTTATTTAATTTTCAAATAGACCGTTAAGGTATAATGGTTTCTTGAATGAACTGCCATTTTTAATTTTCTGCAACTTCCATTTTTATTTTTATTCAACTTCATTTTTTATTTAATTTCCAAATAAATCGTTAAGGTATAGTGGTTTCTTGCATGAACTTCCATTTTTAATTTTCTGCAACTTCCATTTTCATTTTCATTCGGCTTCCATTTTTATTCAAGTTATTTTTCTATTCAACTTCCTTCTTTATTTAATTTCCAAATAGATCGTTAAGGTATAGTGGTTTCTTGAATGAACTTCCATTTTTAATTTTATACAATTTCCATTTTTGTTTTTATTCAACTTCCATTTTTATTCAACTTATTTTTCTATTCAACTTCTTTTTTTAATTTATTTCCAAATAGATCGTTAAGGTATAGTGGTTTTTTTAATGAACTTCCATTTTTAATTTTCTGCAACTTCTATTTTTATTTTTATTAAACTTCCTTTTTTATTTAATTTCCAAATATATCGTTAAGGTATAGTGGTTTCTTGCATGAACTTCCATTTTTAATTTTATGCAACTTTCATTTTTATTTTTATTCAACTTCTATTTTTATTCAATTTAGTTTTCTATTAAACTTCCTTTATTATTTAATTTCCAAATAGATCGTTAAGGTATAGTGGTTTCACGAATGAACTTCCATTTTTAATTTTATGCAACTTCCATTTTTATTTTTATTCAACCTCCATTTTTATTCAATTTACTTTTCTATTCAACTTCCTTTTTTATTTAATTTCCAAATAGATCGTTAAGGTATAGTGATTTCTTGAATGAATTTCCATTTTTAATTTTATGCAACTTCGATTTTTATTTTTATTAAGCTTCTTTTTTTATTCAAGTTTCTTTTCTCTTCAACTTCTTTTTTTATTTAATTTCTAAATAGATCGTTAAGTTATATTGGTTTCCGGATTGAACTTCCATTTTTAATTTTATGCAACATTCATTTCTATTTTTATTCACTTTAGTTTTCTATTAAACTTCCTTTACTATTTAATTTCCAAATAGATCATTAAAGTATAGTGGTTTCTATAATGAACTTCCATTTTTAATTTTCTGCAATTTCTATTTTTATTTTTATTCAACTTCTTTTTTTATTCAAGTTTCTTTTCTATTTAACTTCCTTTTTTGTTTAATTTACAAATAGATCGTTAAGGTACAGTGGTTTCTGGATTGAACTTCCATTTATAATTTTATGCAACTTTCATTTTTATTTTTATTCAACTTCCATTTTTATTCAATTTACTTTTCTATTAAACTTCCTTTTTAATTTAATTTCCAAATAGATCGTTAAGGTATAGTGGTTTCACGAATGAACTTCTATTTTTAATTTTATGCAACGTCCATTTTTGTTTTTATTCAACTTCCATTTTTATGAAAGTTGTTTTTCTATTCAACTTCCCTTTTTATTTAATTTCCAAATTTATCGGTAAGATATAGTGGTTTGTTGAACGAACTTCCAATTTTAATTTTCTGCAACTTTGATTTTTATTTTTAATCAACTTCTTTTTTTATTTAAGTTTCTTTTCTATTCAACTTCCTTTTTTATTTAATTTCAAAATAGATCGTTAAATAGTGGTTTCTGGATTCAACTTCCATTTTTAATTTTATGCAACTTTCATTTTTATTTTTACTCAACTTCCATTTTTATTCAATTTAATTTTCTATTAAACTTCCTTTTTTATTTAATTTCCAAATTGATCGTTAAGGTATATTGGTTTCTTAAATGAACTTCCATTTTAAATTTTCTGCTACTTCCATTTTTATTCAAGTTATTTTTCTATTCAACTTCATTTTTTATTTAATCTCCAAATAGATCGTTAAGGTATAGTGGTTTCTTGAATGAACTTCCAATTTTAACTTTCTGCAACTTCCATTTTTATTTTTATTCAACTTCATTTTTTATTCAAGTTTTTTTTCAATTCAACTTCCTTTTTTATTTAATTTCCAAACAGATCGATAAGGTATAGTGGTTTCTGGATTGAACTTCCATTTATAATTTTGTGCAACTTTCATTTTATTTTTATTCAACTTCCATTTTTATTCAATTTACTTTTCTACTAAACTTCCTTTTTAATTTAATTTCCAAATGGATCGTTAAGGTATAGTGGTTTCATGAATGAACTTCCCTTTTTAATTTTATGCAACGTCCATTTTTGTTTTTATTCAACTTCCATTTTTATGGAAGTTATTTTTCTATTCAACTTCCTTTTTTTATTTAATTTCCAAATATATCGTTAAGGTATAGTGGATTCTTGAATGAGCTTCCAATTTTAATTTTCTTCAACTTCCATTTTTATTTTTATTCAACTTCTTTTTTTATTCAAGTTTCATTTCTATTCAACTTTCTTTTTTATTTAATTTCAAAATAGATCGTTATGGTATAGTGGTTTCT